CTGCGGGGGGAAGAGGTCCCGTGGGTCCCCCGTGCCATGGGGCGAGCGGCTTGGCGTAAAGCACAGCTAGAGAGGGAGCAATAAGGCTGTGTCCTGGGCTGCCGTTTCCCTGGGGCGGAAAGGGGGGAGATTTCACAGTGGGGGTAGGAGGAAGGTCTGCCCCACTCCTCCTTGGGCTTTTTCTGCTGAGCCACCCCTCTGCTGCGTTTAACATAAAAGAGCACAAAAAGGGCAATAAAAGTGGAGAAACGAGGTCCAAGACTGCAGGGGAGTGGTTTCCCTCTGAGCCCACCTTGCTGCCAGCACCCCTGGCAGCACCCACTGGGGACTCAGCACCCCCTCCTCCACCTACACCACCCCTTGCACCCTCCCACATTCTGACCCCCCCCAGCAGAGCTTTCTTCTAAGCTTTTGTCCTGTTTCTGGATGATTTTGCAGCAGAAAGAGCCCCCGCCGCCCTGGGAGAAGGGGCTCCCACTGCCAGCCAGGAGGGCATTGCCTTTGGCAGCTGAGATGGATTGAGTTCCCCTTCAGGCTGCCATGGAAGGGTTAAAAGGAAAAGAAAAGGCTCTAACCAGACAAAAATAGGGAGAAATCTTTGAGAGGAGAGAGAGAAGGAGGAGCAGAGAGAGGGAGAGAAGAAAGGAGGTGGAAGTGGAGGAGGACAGCAAGTGGCGGAGTGAGGAAGAAGAGGGGGAGGAGGAGAAAGGTCTAATGGCTTTTCCATTAATTGTACCGTTACCCACCTTCATCCCCACCTTGCATCCCCGCATCCAGCCTCCCGCTCCCGCGTGGCCCAGCCGGAGGGGACCCTGCGGTCCTGGTGGCAGGGCAGGGACGTGATTCCCCCCCATGGGCACAGGGACAGGGCCACGGTTCCCAAGGGCTGGTGGCCTCCGGACCCACCCTGGCCGTGCCACCGCACGGGCAGAGCACACCGGGCACCCTCACCTGGGGTGAGGGCGAGGCACGTGCGCGATCTGTGCCCTGGGGATATGATGGACCCCAAAACGCCTCCCTGCCCGTGCACGTCTCCTCCCCATCCCACTCCCACGCACAAGGGGGCTTCATTCGCCATCCCCGGGGCCACGATGGGAGGCGGGGGGCTGCTGCGGGGGCCGGTGCGGCCGGATGCTCGGGGGAGTGCTCTCCTCCTCTGGCTTTTTGCTGCCAGTCCCCAGCAGCCCCTTAGAGCTGAAGGGTGAGAGGAAGAGCCCCGCAGGCGGGAGCCCCCCACACCGGCGACCCACGACGCCCCCGGGCGG